TGGTGAGTTGATGGTAGTTATGGTGAGTTGATGGTAATTATGGTGAAGTTGATGGTATTATGGTGATGAGTTTGATGGTAGTTATGGTGAGTTGATGGTAATTATGGTCATTATGGTGAGTTGATGATCATTATGGTGAGTTGATGGTAGTTATGGTGAGTTGATGGTAATTTTGAAAAGCTGATGGTAGTTATAGTTTGTGTAAGTTGATGGTAATTATGGTAGGTCAATTGTAGTTACAAATAGTGATGGTAATTGATGGTAATTTGTTTGTAATTATAGCAAGTTGATGGTAATTATGGAATATGTAGTTATATGATATAATTTTGATGGTAAGTTTATGGTAATTAAGGCTGCTGGTAGTCAAGGGTAATTATATGTATAGTAACTGATACAGACTTCTGAAATATACTATAAGACGTCCGAATAAAACATTGTAACTTACATGATTTCTTTTCATTTCACATTTATTTTTATTTTCCACCAGAATTTGAAGTAATTACTGCCAAAATTACATCATTGAGAGTTGGTGGTCAGTTTGTTGAGTCTGTAGAACCTGACCAGTCATGTGACGTCATTCTCCATCAAACTTGTTTCTATGCAGAACAAGGTGGACAGCTATGGGATGATGGGTATTTTACAAAATTAGGGGATGAGGTATGCAAATCAGATCTTATCAGGCATTCAGTATTATACATATTGGCCTTGGCTGAGGTGAATATTTTAAAATTATGCCCTCTTTATATGCGACGGTTATTGACCAATACTGAACGATGAGATTATTGACGTGCACATAGTGTTATGAACTCTTCATATTTAGTGTTTTTAGTGTGCTAAATAATAATTTACATGTAGCAATTTGTAGATTAAAAATGACATCTGAAAATAACAAATAATCTGTTGCTTACAAATTTCTGAGAGCAGTAATGAGATGCCAAGAATGTTATGTCATGGATGATCACATGACATGTATTGACCAATCAGCGCAACTATGTTTTAGTGATAAAAAAATTAGTGATTTAGTGATAAAAACAGTTTTTGCAATCTTATATAAGCATGGATTTTTATTATGACGATAAATATTTTGATCAAATGTTGGAATTAAATAAATTTTTTTTTAGGCTCAACAGATTGTTTTTGAAGTTGATAATGTTCAGATCTATGGAGGATATGTTGTACATTCCGGGACTACAAAAAAGACATTATCTGTTGGTGAACAACTAAAATTACATATAAATGAGGTATATAAAGTATTCTACATCTACATAAAATTAATGCATAAATAATCACACTCAAGTGCACATTATTATTCTGCTTAGTTGGCCTTTACTGAGTATAACTTATTTGCCATCGCAACTCACTGGGGAAAATACAACCCCAGCTGCCATATCTAGGTGCACATGTGTTAGGTGCCAACATTCTATACCATGTTCTTCTTTACTCCTGAGAAACATTAGTAGTAAATCACCAGCACCATGTCATAGCTGACACTCAAAATCACAACTCTGTGACTGCCAGCTTAGTGGAATAATCATAAATTGCTCCATAGTGCCTCCTAAATAATAGACATTTGATGAATACAAGATTAACATATTACATTACCTGGTTAAAGCAGTGAGGAGGTATGTAAGGGGGTCTAAAAACTAACTCTACGACGTGATTGTGCGAAATAGTGTAATGTATGCGTCGGTGTTGGCTGCCTATTTACGGTGTAACGTTAACGCCATCTTGGAGTTGTAAAACTTCGTCTAACCACAGTCCCAAACAATGGGAATCATGCTCTTCGGAGAGTGACACCGTAGGGACCTCAAGCATACATCAGATAACAGATTGAGTGTCAGATGTGACACCCACTGTGTGTCAATGTACTTAGAAGTAGTCTTTATTAGAAAGTCATGTTGGGTGATTCACAGCTACTATTGTAAAATTATGATTATTTAAATATTGACAATTTATTTCACTAAAACTCCTCTTTTCCAGGAGAGAAGACTTGGTTTGATGAGGAACCACACAGCTGCTCATATATTGAACTGGTCACTGAGGCATTTACATGGTGATGGAATCGAACAGAGAGGATCGCTTGTTGCACCAGACAGACTCAGATTTGATTTCACTTATGAAGCAAGTAATAATAAATAGTGTACGCACACACAGTATCTGCTGAGAAAATAAATCGCATTCCCTCAATATCCATTCATTATAGCTCTTACACATACTAATTTTATTCGTAAATTCCATATTTGTTCACACTGTCATCATTATGGTCCAGATTGTTTCCTTATTACTCTTTATACAGTGAATAACACAGAGATTTTGTTTTTGAGATTGCTCTTTATGTTGTGAGATCAGAACAATGGATTACTTAGAAAATATATTGTCATGCCAGCAAACTTTTGTCTACAATCTGCGTAGATGTATTTACTTTAAATGTGTTGGGACTGTAGACAAAGTCTGTCAGTAATTAACAATATTTTAAAACAAAGTAGGTACTGTAAAATACTTTTGCTTGGAATTAATTTTCACTATTTTCGCTGAAGGAATGATTAAGTGAAATTGAAATCCAGCAAATATCCTTTTTTCCTATATTTTACATTCAACTCGTCAGAAATCAGTGAAAATAAATTCCATACAAAACACTCAAGAAGTCATTTCAGCGAAAATTAATTCAAGCTAAAATAAAGTATTTTACAGTAATCAGTTGTAGTGATCTTACAACATCCAAAGCAAACTCATGACAAAATATTGGTGGTATTGAGCATGTTTTTACTTAAATTTAATATTATAACAAAGTTAACGGTTATGATGTGCGACCAATAAAAAATATCTAACATAATATAATATACATTTTAGGATTCCTTGACTTCGCTGCAAGTGAAAGAGATTCAGGACCAAGTGAATGAAGTAATAGAACAGTACACACCTGTTGATTCACAGGAAGTAGAATTAGACGAAGCCAAACAGATTGAAGGATTACGTGCAGTATTTGGTGAAGTCTACCCGGATCCAGTGCAAGTGGTCTCTGTGGGTATCCCAGTTACTGGACTTCTGACCAATCCATTTGGCCCTGGTGGCTTCATGTCACCAGTAGAGCTCTGCGGTGGAACGTGAGTCAGTGCTAGGAACTTTAAAGTGTTGGCTGTCCTGGTTTGAAACCACACATTTTAGTATCATATATTTGTAATAGTCTTATATACATGTATGTCACCATTGCACAGACGTCTGTAGAGATGTTTAATGCATTATATAAATTCCACAGAAATATTTTTCTTAATGTCAGCTCTCCAAATTGTCCAATAATGTTATGTTCTTCTTGATAGTAGTAGTGATTTTGTGAACATAATTTCAATCTTAGTTACCAACCATACTAAACAATTGATAGATAACTAAGTAAACCCCTGGTTGTGTCATCGAATGAATGAAACAAAGAAATCTACATGTTACATGTAGCTACCAAGGAATGGGGGCAAGTACTTAATGATATGAGGAACACTGGTTAGGGAATCCGCCCATCATCATTGTGGCTTTGACTCTCATGGTTACCTGCACTCACAGAAGTGCATTAAGAGTACATTCTGTCAACTTGCTAGACTGGTGGCATTTGTATTTTTGGGAATAGTGTTCTTCCAAAAAAAAAAAGGCTGATTGTCTGCTGTTTCTATTATCATTGCATGTAAAAGATCCTGTTGTCTTGGAAGAAGGAGTAGTGTTTACTGCGGGACAACAAGATATTCTTGCAATACGTGTATATACTTGAGTTGTGATGTCCCTTATTTCCAACTTTGTAAATGGGCCCGGCTTGTTGAAGGAAATAATTATATGAGTGGGTAATCATCTTAATTCTGATAAATTCAGGCTAAATAAAACAAATAGATGAATAAAAATGTTGGTGATTACATTTTTAGCACCTCCATAATTTGACTTTGATCTTAATAAAGTTTAACCTTTGGATGACATGATGCAGAACAAACTTTTGAAAAACATTTACAACAGACTATTTAGGAATTCAACCTTTTCACCACCTGCAGTTCCCTCTTTTCATCACAGATTCACAAAATAGATCTGTTTATGGTCTGAATTTTCCATCAGAAGTTTTGGACAATAATAGCCAAATTTTTTGAGTAAAAATGATGATTGACTCAAATTTTGTCTGTTGGCTCAAAAAGAGTTAATTTCCAGAAATATTGAAGAATATAAGAAAAAAGTGCAGACAAATTTGGGCGTGAAAGTCTGGTGATGAAATGTTAATAGCATCCAAAATATATATAGCCAATAACAAGTTTTTGTGACATCAATTTCTAATAAGACAAATCATCTAGAATTATGGGTAATTTGTAGTGCTATACAGGTTACACTGATGACATATTTTTTCTGTATGCTGGCTGTTTTTTCTTGTTGAAGGCACGAGTATGTGCTTGATTGTCTAAGAGCTACCTTTGAATACATGCTGATGAAAATTCCTCAAACTTTTCATCTAAAAAATGTAGAGCTCTGCCTATTAAATCCAACTAAACCGTGAAATATATGAAAATTACAGATAACTTTTAAATAAAAAGAATCTGTCTAGTCCTTGAATGTCATAGATTTTTTGCTAAAAATTCAGGTGCTCATTTTTAGGATTTCTTTTTATATAGATTTAAAATTTGGATCAGGTAGACAAAAGTAAACCAAGAATTTGACTTTTTGTTCTACTTTTAGACATGTGCACATGACTGAACACATTGGCAAACTTGTGATCATCGATGAGGGCAAAGTAAGTAGTGGTGTTCGTAGGATAACTGCAATAACCGGGTCTGATGGATGGGAGGCTGATCGCAAGGCTGACGATTTATTGGTTAAAGTTAGTGAACTGAAAAAACAAATAGAGGAAAGTATAGAGAATTTGACACCCTCCCTGAGGGTGCTGTTTGATGAGGCAAATAATTTACTGGAAGTGGTTGGAGCTTCGCCGATACCACTTTGGAGGAGTAGGGAGTTGAAAGAAGAACTGTTCAAGTTGAAAGAGGATATCAAATCTTTTGATAAAAAGAGGAAAAAGATGGCTGTGAAAGAGGTACATTATATATCAAATATTGGATGAGTGGACCACATGCAAATGAAATGTGAGCTGTGTGGACCACATGTGAATGAAATGTGAGCTGAGTGGACCACGTGTGAATGAAATGTGAGCTGTGAGGACCACATGTGAATGAAATGTGAGCTGAGTGGACCACATGTGAATGAAATGTGAGCTGAGTGGACCACCTGTGAATGAAATGTGAGCTTGAGGACCACATGTGAATGAAATGTGAGCTGTGAGGACCACATGTGAATGATATGTGAGCTGAGTGGACCACATGGGAATGTGAATGAAATGTGAGCTGAGTGGACCACATGGGAATGTGAATGAAATGTGAGCTGAGTGGACCACATGGGAATGTGAATGAAATGTGAGCTGAGTGGACCACGTGTGAATGAAATGTGAGCTGAGTGGGCCACATGTGAATGAAACTTGAGCTGCTTGGACCACATGTGAATGAAATGTGAGCTGAGTAGACCAAATGTGAATGAAACTTGAGCTGAGTGGACCAAATGTGAATGAAATGTGAGCTGAGTGGGCCACATGTGAATGAAATGTGAGCTGAGTGAACCACATGTGAATGAAATGTGAGCTGAGTGAACCACATGTGAATGAAATGTGAGCCGAGTAGACCAAATGTGAATGAAACTTGAGCTGCATGGACCACATGTGAATGAAATGTGAGCTGAGTGGGCCACATGTGAATGAAATGTGAGCTGAGTGAACCACATGTGAATGAAATGTGAGCCGAGTAGACCAAATGTGAATGAAACTTGAGCTGCATGGACCACATGTGAATGAAATGTGAGCTGAGTGGACCACATGTGAATGAAATGTGAGCTGAGTGGACCAAATGTGAATGAAACTTGAGCTGCTTGGACCACATGTGAATGAAATGTGAGCTGAGTGGACCAAATGTGAATGAAACTTGAGCTGAGTGGACCACGTGTGAATGAAATGTGAGCTGAGTGGACCAAATGTGAATGAAACTTGAGCTGCATGGACCACATGTGAATGAAATGTGAGCTGAGTGGGCCACATGTGAATGAAATGTGAGCTGAGTGAACCACATGTGAATGAAATGTGAGCCGAGTAGACCAAATGTGAATGAAACTTGAGCTGCATGGACCACATGTGAATGAAATGTGAGCTGAGTGGACCACATGTGAATGAAATGTGAGCTGAGTAGACCAAATGTGAATGAAACTTGAGCTGCTTGGACCACATGTGAATGAAATGTGAGCTGAGTGGGCCACATGTGAATGAAATGTGAGCTGAGTGGACCCCTGCAAATGAAAAGCGAGCAGAGTGGACCACATGTGAATGAAATATGAGCTGAGTGAACCACATGTGAATGAAATGTGAGCTGAGTAGACCAAATGTGAATGAAACTTGAGCTGCATGGACCATATGTGAATGAAATTGAGCTGAGTGGACCACATGGGAATGAAATGTGAGCGAAGTAGACCAAATGTGAATGAAACTTGAGCTGCATGGACCACATGTGAATGAAATGTGAGCTGAG